ACCCAGCAAAAGAAAACCCTCCGCCATACTGGACCAGTACTGCACCCAGCAAGAGAAAACCCTCCCCATACTGAACCAGTACTGCACCCAGCAAGAGAAAACCCTCCTCCATACTGGACCAGTACTGCACCCAGCAAGAGAAAACCCTCCGCCATACTGAACCAGTACTGCACCCAGCAAGAGAAAACCCTCCTCCATAATGGACCAGTACTGCACCCAGCAAGAGAGAACCCTCCTCCATACTGGACCAGTACTGCACCCAGCAAGAGAGAACCCTCCTCCATACTGGACCAGTACTGCACCCAGCAAGAGAGAACTCTCCTCCATACTGGACCAGTACTGCACCCAGCAAGAGAAAACCCTCCTCCATAATGGACCAGTACTGCACCCAGCAAGAGAGAACCCTCCTCCATACTGGACCAGTACTGCACCCAGCAAGAGAGAACTCTCCTCCATACTGGACCAGTACTGCACCCAGCAAAATAACGCCTCCTCCATGCTGGATCAGTACAAATATGAAGAGATACCAACCCATTCCTTCCCTGCTGGATCACTACAGTAACCGACAGCGAGGAGGAGGGTACGCAATACACAACAAATACTGTCATAGCACTAGGTATGAAGCCACACAGGAACAGAAAACAGAGTCATTGACATCGTCACATACACACACAATATCCTGGATCAAAAGGATACAATCTCTGATAAAGTGGAATCGACGATCTCTTGATACGACTTGCATTAATAGCAGTGGCCCTTACCAGGCCAGGTAGCACTTTATGGTCAACAATAGCACCATCAAATAACGGGCCAAAATAGGGCACCTTAAAAAAAAAACACAATAAAATAAGTCTAGTTGGATCATTCGTGACACAAGTACATTGATACATGTATGAATCATGTCTGTGTGTGTGCAACAAAAGAATGAAAATTGTCTTTTTCGAATACAATACTCTACCCGGTATATTACAAGAATTCATCTGGAAGCTATATTTAATTTTACCATGATCATTGGACAGTACATCACTTTAGATGCTTTCTCTTTAACCCTTAGGCCCCAATAACCCTATCTTAAAACACGCGATACTGACATGATGTACAAAATGAATACAACAGCAAGGGTTAAAATTACGAACACAAAAATGGAAAGTTTTTCATTGTTATGATTGACAAGCAAGGCTCAACTGACATTTGACCTTATTCACCTCAGGTTTTCTTTTAATCTGAATTCTATACAGCTGGCTCGGCAGAGGATAAATGCAGATCAGTACATCACCAAACTCGGTTGCTATGATACCCCTCCGGTAATCCCTTGTGTGCTCCGACCACACAATATGAATCTCATCGTTCCCCAGGTGACGCAACTGTAAATTAAAATTGGAGAAACGAAAAAATAACAAACAAAAAAGACAGTATGATGTGACGAGTTTTGAAACTTAGTTATTATTAGGATTTTGTGGTGATAATGTCACTGCCACGACTGGTCAGAGTTGTGAGCTGGCATAGGGAATGAGGTATCAGATTTAGGTAGAGAGTACGCGAACATGGGATTTGCGGTAAGCGGGAATTGGGCGGGCAAGTCATGAAATAAACAGTTTAACCCATCCTGTCAGGCATAAAACAACAACATGTGTGGTGATATTAGGGGGTTAGTAAAACAACACATGTTAAATGCAATTTAATTTCATCCCTTTATGCGTGCAAATCCCCGAAGTCGCATAAAGACTTTGACATCCGTGTGGCTGACAGCAATTGCCGGATTATAACGACACTAATTAGAAAGATTTAAATAAATTTAATAACTGTCAATCACTCTGATAATTGCCCTATGTTAAAAATAAAAAAAAACATGCTCTATTAATAAAAAACAAACAAATTGTATTGAACGAGTAAAAATATTGTTATTGTTGACAAAATAACAATTGAAATAAATATTTACTTTGGTTTTTAAAAGACCAACAAATTACCTACCAAGTGAAACACTGAACAATAAAATATAATTAATTATATAAAGATATATACATGGAGATCAAAAAATATATCCATCTATAAATACTTCATTAAAATTGATAACATTGCGCATGGTAACTATGGAAATATAACCACAATGAAAAGTAAAATGTTATTATACTCAGCACTGCCACAAGAGGGCGCTATAGCAAGCAAATGTATTTTCTAACAAGGAAGAACATTTTCAGGTTTTCCGACATGTAGGC